TCGTACTGAAATATGTACACTCACTCTCTTTTTTTCCATAGGATTTTGGTTTTTTCTCCAGAAATAATTTAATTTGGAGCCATATGGTGTAGAGTTTGTTTTTCTGTTCGTCTTATGTTCTCTGTTTTCAAGTGCGGACCTAGAATGTTGGGGAGATACCACTTTCAGTATAGATCATAATTTATATATATATATATATATATATATATATATATATATATATATATATATATATATTTATATTAAATTATCTAATTACACAGTATAATTTTTAACGAAAGGGTGTCGATCGACACCCTTGAATGCATGTGGCCCCGCCACTGCATTCAGAGCCAACTCTCCCCCAAAAGAAAAGGCGCAAAACAAAAGGATTTGAAACAGTAGTTGTGGAGGTGATTCAGCCATGCTTTCATGACTCATCAATACCTACTTTTTATGTTTTTCTTTTTCCTTTTTATTTTCAGGATATAAATTTTGTTGTAAACTGATATAAAGAAATAAATTTACTCTCTTCAACCTATTAAGCTTTTAGGTGAAATTAGTAAGTCGTACAATTTAACATGGTGTAGAATTGATAGAAGTCGTAGACACTCATAGGTGCACTTTGTAGTGAAAATTAGGAGAAATTAGGGTTCAAAATCCAACTAAGATAAAAGATGCTTGGTAATTTCTTCACATCTGCTTAGAAATAATCTGCTTAAATTTGGATGAGCAAAGTTATCCAATACAAGTGTTGCTGAGAAATAATCGGTATCTAATAGAATAGTCGAGATGCACGCAAATAAGTTTTGACTCTACTTTAACAAAAAAAACAATAGGCAGATGTATCCAAAATTCATATCTTATGGTCACTCGTCAACAAAAATATTCCTTATGTTTAGTCCAAGAAAAATAACCATACCCAAATATAAGGGTTTGTTGAAGACGGAAATATATAAACAAATAAACAAATATCATCATATCTCCGATAGTTTAAAATTTTAGATTGGATATTTCACACAATTTATCAAAATTTTCAAAAAAAAATTCTACTTTTTCTTGCTTGGAACTTGGAAGGGGAAGGGGTGGTGGTGGAGATAGGGCGGGGCATCTTCTATCTAGTCTATGTGATTAATATAACAAAACAAAAAGGGCGAGGCAAAAACATGGATGAATGGTGGTCCTTTTCTATATTTATATGGATTGTTACGATACGTCGATTTCACTTTGCAAAATACCAATTAGATTCATTTAGTTATCTTTTTGATCACTCTGCTTTTACTATCATATATATATAGGAGTCCTTCCACGTTTCGCATGTGTCATTGTTTATATTTTCCATGGTCTTCCTTCCAAATGGCTAAAAAAATTTGACACAGTGGTCCCAAAAGTTTATAGAAATAGAATTCAACAGTGAGGCATATACCTATGAATTCTATTTTACATCTTCATCGTATAAAATAGAATGTGTTATAAACTTTACCTCGTGATGCTTACAAGGGGTGAAAATATAAAAGCACTTTATAGATTTACAAGAGTCACACCTTGATTTATCCTAAGATTTTATTTTTTTACATGCCAAACAATGAAGTATGGGAGATCCAATTGGAATAACATCAAATTTAATAAAATTCGAAATAGTCAGAGAGCTGTCTACTGAGGTATATTGAAACTTATTTTTTTTTAATAGAAAATATCAAATACTTAGCAATATATTAAAATGTTTCATAAATTACATTGTTTAAACCAAGCGTTGAAACATATGCTGATACGAGGTAGGCTTATTGATGAATTTATAAGGGCCTCATTGGAAAAGACGATCCAAAGCAATGGGCTAAAAATTGGCCCATTTTCTGCCACCCAGTGTATGGTTATTACTAGTTTCACCCACACAGATTTGCACTTCATTAGAGGACAATGTTGCTGAATTTGAAACATAAGTCCATTTATCTCCACTGTACAGTCCTTCCTGGAGTCCAATCCTGACCATATCTTCATGATTTTATGTAATGTGGTGAATAAGCAAAGTTTCATGTTATGCTTTGTCTCATTTTATAGCAAATTCATTTCCTCATAAAATTTACTTCAAAAAAGTTTCGTTTGATTTTCAGAAATCAAAATATGCTTTTCGGTAACCAAATGGTTTTCAATTTTGTTTACGAAGAACTTAAAACTTTCCAACACCCTACATCTATGATTGCAAGTTAAAATTGCAGAAATATGACACTTTTTGGAGTGGTCTTTATCGTTTAACTTCACTTGCACTTTAAGGGCAAAAGTTAAAAGTGTTTCCATGAAGCAAGCGAGGGATAACACTTATTAAACTTGAAATTCTACTCATAGACCAAAACAAGGACAAAAATTCAAGACTATCTATGTGGGTAAACGTACGAAAATTGGGCTTCTCCAGATTAGAGCCGGACCTTGTGGAAAGACAGAGAAATTCGAGGCCCACTTCCAGTTTCTAAGGAGATTAAGCCTATCAAACGATGGTCCAGAACGAAATATGTCTTTCTTTATTCTCTACTATATAGCTGACTCAGAATCGTTAGAATTTGCAATTTCCTCATAATAAAATGTGAGGCAGTATAGATTCGAAAACCTTTGTTGAAGATTATTGACTCAGCTACGCGAAACAAACTGTAGTATCCAATGTACCGATTAACAAGCGACTGGTTAACTATGAATTTGTTAGCTCGACAAAATCACCGGTTAATAATGAGTTTGTGAGTTCGATAAAATCTAATTTTCTGATAGAAATTTTATATATTATGCAGAAATTTAATAAAAGTAGACTTAACTTATATATTTTAGCATTGACTCTTTTGAAGTAAAATCCATTCCATCTAAATTATGACTTCCCTACATCGAGTAAGTAAGTTGCGTCTGTATCCTCATTTTACCCACTTTTCGCTATGCAATTATTCAAGGATCTTTACACAAATAGCAAGCCAATATTAATTATTTATTTTTTTTAGTCATATATATAAATTATACATATATTATATACCCATTAATTATTTTTAATTTAAGTGATAGATTGGACGACTATTTGGATTAATTCTTCGTTATTCAAGATAATAGATGTCGTCTCTAATACATGAGCTAGAAGATAATAAGGATTACTAGGCCGAAAGGCTGATGGAAATGAACAAGAAGATAAGCTCCTAAATGGAAACAGTACGGAAAAAGTCAAAGAGCAGTGCATGGGAGGAATCATCAGTCAGAAAAGGAAGCCACGTGTCAAGTAGAAACAAGCACGTGTCCATGCAAAAGCCACGTAACTCCCTTCCATCACATCTTCCTTCTTCAAAACCTCGTGTTTTACTCTCTCTTTTCTCACTGCCAGTGATCGTCAGGACTGTGCATGTTTGTTTAAAAACTAAAGGCAATGTCGGATAAAAAATCTGTCTCGACGCCATTTGAATGTTGCAGAATCTTGTTTAAGTTTCTGCTGTTTATGGTTATTATCAGTAATGTGGCGATCCATGTAACAGCTTTGAGTGGGCGAGAAGGAATAACCCCAAGTACGGAATGGGGTTTGGGGCCTCTGGTGAAGAGAGGAGAAAGAAAACTAGTAGTTTCAACTGAAAATGGGGAGGTCTCTTCAGTCAGAGTAGCTGATGGAATCACCGGTTCCTATCATCTTCAGTTCATCACATTGGAGCCCAATTCCCTCTTCCTTCCTGTTGTTCTACATGCAGATATGGTCTTCTATGTCCACACTGGTATTGATTTTACATTTCTGTCCTCTTTTCTTCACTTGATCTGTCTCATTTTATTTGTTTTATTGATAAAATCTCAACTATTTGTTTTTTGATATTTCGGTGGAATGATGATTCAAGGGTCGGGAAGGCTGACTTGGATGGATGAAACTGAACAAAAGTCAGTGGATTTAAGAATTGGAGATGTTTTCAGGTTGCCCTTTGGAACTATTTTCTTCATAGAGAGCAACTTAGAGCCTGCGCGACAGAAACTTAGAGTTTATTCCATCTTTACCAATTCAGGGGATGATTTGAGAGTAATATTCTTTGTTCTCGTCCATTTTTTATGTTAATACTTAATTTTGCATTTTTCTTGATCAAAAATGAATTTCCTCGTATATATGCAGGAGCCGTTGTCCGGACCACACTCTAGCATCCGTGATATGGTTCTTGGATTCGATAGGAAAGTTCTCCAGGCGGCATTTCATGTAACTCCCCTCTATTTAGTTTAAACATATAATTGATAGTATTAAATTTTGTGCACTATTAATATATAATTTAACTCTTCATAAAAAGTCTAATATATTTGGGAAGTAGGTTAAATTGCAATGTTAGTATAAATTTGTTATACTGTTAGAGTATAACTTAAATTCATTTTGAGTTTTTTCTGTTTTTTTGGGATAATTTAATAAAAAGAGTCATGTTAAGGGGTAAATTGTGACTATGTATGCAAAACTTTCTTTGTGAAGGTACCAGAGGATGTGATAGATGAAGTGTTGAATGGGACAGAAGTACCAGCCATCATACATGGTGTGCCCAAGACAACAAAAAAGACCCTGTGGGAAATGGAGGCTCAATTCATGAAAAGTCTTCTAGGAAGGGGTGGTCACGGTTTCTTTGACTCCCAAAGCAATAAAAAGAAGACTGAATTGTTCAATATTTTCAAAGAGAAACCAGATTTTGAGAATTGCAATGGCTGGAGCACTGTAATTACACGGAAAAAATTACCCGCATTAAAGGGTTCCCACATTGGTATTTATGTAGTGAACTTAACCAAGGGATCAATGATGGCGCCACACTGGAATCCAACGGCAACTGAAATAGGAATAGCATTGCAAGGAGAAGGAATGGTAAGGGTAGTTTGCTCAAGCACGGGAACAAAGCAAGGATGCCAAAACATGAGGTTTAAGGTGGAAGAAGGAGATGTATTTGCAGTGCCAAGGTTTCGTCCTATGGCTCAAATGGCTTTCAACAACAACTCATTTGTCTTTGTTGGTTTTAGTACAACTACAAAGAGACATCATCCTCAGTACCTAACAGGGAAGGCTTCAGTCCTCCGAACACTGGATAGGCAAATCTTGGCAGCTTCCTTTAATGTGACTAACACAACAATCGATCGGATTCTGGAGGCACAGGGTGAGTCAGTCATACTGGAGTGTACTTCTTGTGCTGAAGAAGAAGTGAGATTAATGGAGGAAGAAAGGAGGAGGGCAGAGGAGGAAGAAAGGAGAAGGGAAGAAGAGGAGGCAAGGCAGAGGGAGGAAGAAAGGAGAAGGGAAGAAGAGGAGGCAAGGCAGAGGGAGGAAGAAAGGAGGAGGGAAGAAGAGGAAGCTAGAAGGAAGGAAGAGGAAGAAGCAAGGAAGGCTGAAGAAGAAAGAAGAAAGAGAGAGGCAGAAGAAGCAAGAAGACGAGAAGAGGAGGCAACAAGGGAGAAAGAGGAACAAAGGAGGAGACAAGAAGAAGAAGCCAGGAGAAGGGAAGAGGAGGAAGCCAGAAGGCAAGAAGAAGAAATCAGAAGGAGACAAGAAGAAGGGGAAGCTAGGAAGAGAGAAGAGGAAGAAGCAGCTAGAAGGCAACAGGAGGAAGAAGCTGAGAGAGAGGCAGAAGAAGCGAGGACAAGAGAAGAGGAAGAGGCAGCTAGAAGGCAGCAGGGGGAAGAAGCACAAAGGGAGGCAGAGGAAGCAAGAAGGAGAGAGGAAGAAGCAGCAAGGAGGAGGGAGGAACAAGCGCAGAGAGAGGCGGAGGAAGCAAGTAGGAGAGAGGAGGAAGCAGCAGCTAGAAGGAGACAGGAACGAGAGGAAGCAGAAAGGGAAAGACAAGCAGAGGAAGCCAGGAGGGAGGGAGAGGAAACAAGGAGACATGAAGAAGAAGAAGAAGAAGAAGAGGAGGAGGAGGAAACAAGGAGAGGAGAGAGGGGAGAGGAGGAGGAGGAAGGAGGAAGAAAAGAAGAGGAGGCGGCAAGAGAGGCCGAGAAAAGAAGGCAAGAAGAAGCCCAGAGACAACAAGAAGCAGCTAGGAGACAGGAAGAAGAAATGGAAAGAAGGCATCAAGAAGAAGAAACCGAGGAAGAGGAGCAGGGTCCTTACGCACGGAGGAAAAGAACATTCCTTAAAACAGCATGAACATGACCCGGTTGTCTCCTTTGTGGTGTCTTTCAGAACATCGCCAGTAGTTCGTTGATGTGGTGTTGAGTGAATACTTTTTCAATATATAAGCAATTTCGTGCCTTTTTTGGTTCATTTTGAGGCTTATGTAATATATTTGATCATGTAATCGTGAATACTTCAATAAAAGGTAACTCTTCCTCAGATAATGTAACCAAGAATAATTTCATTGAAGGGAAGCGGTATAAGCATAAAGGTAACTTTCCCTGTGATGAAGAATGATGATATCAAGTAGGCGTTGTTGATCAACTTTCCAAATGGGTGGAGGGTAAGCTACTTCACTGCCTTACTTCCTCTAAGTTCAAGTTGGGGGAGGTATGATCGGGGATTCTCTATCTTCTTGTTGAACAAGAAAACAGTACTACTACTTAGCATATATAGTTTCAATCAATAAATAGGAACTGTACTAACAATCAGAGCCCTTATTTTCACTTAGCATAGTTGTATACCAGTTAGAACTCATACTGTGGAAACAGAGACTCGTGGACTAGCAATGCCCTTATTAAAAACTATCATGGATGCTCTACTCATTGTCTCTCCAAACAACAGCACTCTTTCATAAAAAGGTACTTCATGCGACATCCATTAATACAAGAAGTTCAAGATACATAACATGCAGTAACAGAACTCGACTCAACTTAGACTTATCCCACATCTAGCTTGATTTTCCATCAAACCAGTGTGCGTAAAAGTAAAACATAACTATAGAATTGATCCCATGGTTAATCACATTCACATAACAAGCGGTTGGGATAAAAAGATGGTCAGTTCTAAGGCTTCAAAATTAATATAGCCAATTAGTCGAACGGACGGTGTGCAATCCTAGATGACTTCTATGAAAGTGAGACGAATCAATCTCCCAAAAGTTTAGTACAAAGAAATAACAGCAACCGTTCAAACAATCTAATACGGCTACACATATTAATCTTCACAAATTAAACATTACAACAAAAGCATACTAAATTCTGAACTCAGTAAAGATTCAAATCAACAGCACCATATTATAGACATAACAACACTAGTGAATTGGTCATCAAAGCAACGAAGAGCACAGAAAAGTTCGAAATTTAACCAATCACGAACCTGATCGAAGCTCTTGTGGAACATCTACACGCTTCCTGACTTGTGGAGACAAGAGTCTCGAGTAGATTCGGAAACTGCCCAGTCTAATTTTGATACGTATTCTACAATTTCCTTACTAAAGAGAAAAAGAGAAAGTGTGTGAGAATATAAAATTGGCGCCTTCTTTCTTTTGGCGCTATTTATCTAGTTTTAGCGACCAGTTATCATGATTTTTAAAGATATTTTTAGATTGCCAATTTTCGCTGAGAAAAAAAGGAGGTAAAAGGGGTGGTAGTTAAAAGTGATAATCAACTTTATATAAGACTAGTCTTAATATACGTGCGTTGCGCGTGTCATAAAAAATATTTTAAAAAATATATTTGTGTTATAATATAAAAATTAATACAAATTTGCAAGCTTCAAAATAATGAATTAATCATATTTAGGAGTTTGATCCACTCTAGTGGTTTTTGGTTCATCTTGCTTCATTGTACAAAAAATTTGAGTATACTTCCAATTCTAAGTCGTTCTATTGTTCAAAGGAAAAAAAGTGTCCTAATTGCTCTTCAACTTCTAAAATATTGCCTATCTCTTACCTTAAATATGAATTATCATTTCTGCGTCCATATTTTTTTTTTAAATCAAAATTGTCTTTTTCGTTTTTTTTTTTTTAGAAAACTATACTCTATAGCCCACAAAATTTTAATAGCTCATGTCTTTTCTCACTTACACGAAATGGCCCTTTGGCCCAAACATAATAGACCGAAATGTCTATTTTGTATATTTTTTGTATAGTGACAGTCTATTTTGAATATTTTTTTATATAATGACAGTCTATTTTGTATATATATTGTATAGTGACGGTGGGGAGTGGGTTGCTCTAGTGGTAAGCACCCTCCACTTCCAACCAAGAGGTTGTGAGTTCGAGTCACCCCAAGAGCAAGGTGGGGAGTTCTTGGAGGGAGGGAGCCGAGGGTCTATCAGAAATAGCCTCTCTACCCCAGGGTAGAGGTAAGGTCTGCGTACACACTACCCTCCACATACCCTACTAGTGGGATTATACTGGATCGTTGTTGTTGTTGTTGTTGTATTGTATAGTGACGGTCTATTTAGTATATAATTGTATAGTGTTTGTATATTTTTTGTATAGTGACAGTCTATTGTATATAAATTGTACAGTGACAGACTATTTTATATATTTTTTGTATACTGACAGTCTATTTTGTATATATGTTGTATAGTGACAATCTATTTATTACTCCCTCCGTTCCAATTTATGTGAACATGTTTGACTGGGCATGAAATTTAAGAAAAAATAAAGACTTTTGGAATTTGTGGTCCTAAACAAGTCAAAAGGAGGTCCAGAGTATTTGTGGGGTTATAAAAGCTTCTCATTAAGGGTACAATTGTAAGTTTAAGCTAAATTATTATCAAATTTAGAAAAGGGTCATTCTTTTTGGAACAGACCAAAAAGGAAATAGGTTCACATAAACTGGAACAAATGGAGTATATTTTTTGTATAGTGAGAGTCTATTTTTCATACTTCTATGCTAAGTATTGACTTTAAACACTGTTCAAACTTAAACGTGTCTCTTTCGCGTGAAATTACTCTATATTGAACTACTACAACTATTTGTGCCGGATTTTGTCAAAAAATTCAATTTTCCGGCCAAGTTCGTTCTGCTTCCTCCTCCCATCCTTCCAATCTTATTCTTTCTGCCACTTTTCAGCAATAGTGATACAACTAAGATATGTTTTAAGGTTTTGAACTATTTGTGTGGAAGAGTTTTATGGCATATACTTTTTCTTTGGTCGTTGAGAAGAGAGGTCGACGTCGCTCATGAAGACATTCTGCCGCCGACGAAACAGATCTTATAGCTAGCCGCTAGAATTATTTTAGGCTATAAAATGTATATTATAATTTTGGACTACTGGATGATATATGTTTTGGGCCGATGGGCTATAAATGAATTTTGCTCATTTTTTTAACGTGTTCTTTATTAGCATAAAAATTGCAGGATGAGTTTGTTACTTTAATTTCATTAATTTACTCTTTTTTTGCAGAATATACATACATGAAAAGTAACATGTAGTAAATATTATTATGTTACATATATAGTTTAAATAAAGGAAAAAGTTAATGTAAGGTAGAATTTTAATTGACTTTAAATTCCTAAATTTTAGGACTTCTCACCTAGTTCAAATAAGTAAATATTTAATAATCAGCATCTTAGTTAATTTCAAAGTACTAAATATTATGATAATAATTAAATGACTATTTTGTCTAGTCGAAATCTATTTTTTAAGGGTAAAAAAAGCGAACGATATTTCGCTAAGAACCTTCGTGCTTTTAATATAATACTAGTTTCTATGTACGTGCGTTGCACGTAAATCTTTAGTTTATCATTTATATGAAAAAACAATACATTAAATTTACTGGAAAATCATATACAAAAAGACCGAATAAAGCCATTAATGTGGGAACAATGCAATAGTATCGTCAATGGGAACATGCATTGCACATATATTCCGTGTCAATAGTTATCTTTGTGAAATAAAAAATGATACATGTAATTTTATACTATCATTCATATTATGAATAAACTTGTTTGATTTTTAAAATAGAAAATAATAAAGAGCACGAAAAGTTACTGCTAGTCATTAAAATTTGTTATGAACATTGACTCTATTATAGAATAACTCATCAAGAAGAATTTTAAGTGCAATATTGAAGGATTTGCTTTAGTTTCTAATAGTATAAATCGATGTCTCTTATCGGATCATAAAACCAAAAGAACTATAATGTCCATACAACTCCCTATGTATGTTTACAATTTGCTTTGTGTGTGTAAACATTAGAACTTTTCACCTAAATATCTCATACCTCTTAAGAAAGAATCCTTGCTGGATACTTTTCTTTTGGAGCTTCACAATTATAAGTTACCAATTAACTAATCTCTCCAAGCCTCTATTTAACATATACACGTTTATCTCTGGACGAACAAACAATAGATGGCGTCGAAGATCCACTCTTCATCTTCCTGATTTTCATCAACTTCCTTATGCCTATTTATTTCTTGTTTTCAGTTAATTCGACAAATTAAATTAGAACAAAATCCATTACTGCTGGTTATCAGACAAAGAAAAACTAAAGTAACTCCTTTTGCCAACACCAATGTAGAACATAAATAAGCTTAAAGGTAATTTCTTTTAAATTTTAGGCAAAACCTTTATGTAAACGAACATTTAAGCCGTGGCTTTGCCATTGGAGTTCTAATACAAATAGGACCTTTAGTTTTCAATGACTTGAATTCTACAACTAATGAACTGTTTTTACGTTTTTGGATATTAATGTTGAAGACATGATTTAAATATGAAGGGTAAAAAAGTCGGTCAATATTTCAGGGACATTTTTGTCGTTCAATATTTAGCGTGTAACATTCGTGTTTTTATAATAATATAGATATAGATATAGATTTCTCTCCCCAACCCCGAGATTTTTTAAAAGTATTTTAAAATAGGGTTACTGTGCACATATAAGAATCAGAAATTTCCAGGACCATAGCAATGAGCATTATTGAACAGTAGTAGTACGTATGTCCTTTCTGGTATAGGATATGTAGCTTCATTAAAAGATAGAAAATGAAAAGCGTATAAAGTTTGTGATACATTTACTAATAAATCCAACGAATAAAAGAAATACTCGTATATAAAAGTAGAAAAGTAAGTGTTTGTACTTTTTATAAAAACACAATAGGTGGAGTTGAGAGGGATATGGAAATTGCCTTGGATATTATGTAGGCATCATGAACCAATTAATGGGACCTACAAGATTAATGTTTTGGCTATCCTTATCTTTTATTGACAGGCCCTTCAATTTAAATCGTTGCTGCCCAAAAATGATTCCACTGTCAACCGATTACTTTTTTCAAAACGTTTATTGCACCATTGCTCCACTAACTTCTCATACAAGAGAGTAGAAAAGTTTCCATCTNATATATATAAAAAAAATATATATTTTTCGGTTATTATTTTGAGAGCGATTATGCATAGTTATTTTCCCATTTTGAAACTATAAGTCTTTGGATTATTAATCCCATGTGGTTCAAGCTGAAGTTAAGAGGTTCCTCGTTTAGTGTCTATAAGCCTAATTAGGTGAAAATGATACTGGGACAATAACAACAACCCAGTATAATTCCACTAGTGAGGTTTGGGGAGGATAGTGCGTACGCAGACCTTACCCCTACTCTCGAGTAGAGAAGCTGTTTCCGATAGACCCTCGGCTCCTTCTCTTCACTTGCTCTTGGGGTGACTCGAACTCACAACATCTTAGTTGGAAGTAGAGGGTGTTCACCACAAGAGCAACCCACACTTGTGAAAATGATGCTGGGAATTTTTTTTATTTGGTTACAAGGGTCGACCACATAAATTAAATTACTGGTCCCATTCTACAAAGTTTGAATTCAAATCTTCCTACAATTCAGTATTCTATTTGGTACAAAAAACATGGCATTTATAGCCTCACAGTGAGGAAAAACTTGCATATAGCTT